ACCATTTGGGTCCATTAAATATTTAACAACTTATTGTCACTTTTGCCTTTTTTGTTCTTCTTTCCTTGCCTTTTTATTCTAATTATTTTTATAAGATTTTTATTCATTTTGAACTTAAATACATAAAGGCAAAAAAAGGAACACAGCACAACACAGAAAGAGGATTCTCTATAAAACTAATTAATTTACATTTCACAGGGTTTACTTTTTTTGCAAAACTGTAATACTGCATATCATTTTCAAAGCTAGTCTGCTTTTTATGCCTCTTTCTAAATTTGTTTTATTCTCTGCTGTGCACTTTACATATTTTTCCCCTCCCTCCCCTACAGATGGCTACCATTAGAAACATATATATATATATATATATATACACACATATATATATATATATATACACATACATATATATGTAAAACCATACTACACATATATTTATCAGTTCTTTCTCTAGAGGTAGATAGTATCTTCCTTCATATATCCTATATATTTGATTTGAGTATAGTACTAAAAATGACTCAGTTGCTCAAAGTTGTCCTTAAAACAACATTTCTGTTACTATCTATGATGTTCTCTTGGTTCGGTTCATTTCACTCTTCATTATTTCATGCAAGTCTTCCCATGTTTTTCTAAAATCAATGAGCTCATCATTTCTTATAGCACAGTAATATTCCATCACAATCACATACCACAACTTCTTTAGCCATTTCCCAGTTGATAGGCATCGTTGCAATTTCTAGTTCTTTGCCACCACAAAGAAAGATCCTATAAATATTTTAGAACAGATAGGTTCTTTTCTTTTTTCCCAGTCATCCTTGGAAATAGACCTAGTATAGTAGTATTATAATAGTGGTACTGCTGGGTCAAAGGATGTAGGCAGTTTAATAACTCTTTGGGCATTATTCCAGATTATTCTCCAAAATGGCTGGATCAGTTCACAATTCGACCAACAGTAAATTAGTGTCCCAATTTTCCCACATCTATTCTAATTCTTCCTCTCCACACTCTAATGATCCTTTCCAATTTCTTGTAAAGTGAAGACTTGCTAAGGACTTCCAAAGTGAAAGGGACAAGTGGGACTGAATGATTAATGTTATTATTTTCTTTTCAGGATAAAGATTTCCTTGCTTATACTATTAACCTTCATTTTGCAACTGTAGGGGGCAGCCAGGTGGCTCAGTGGATACAGCACCGGCCCTGGATTCAGGAGGTCCTGAGTTCAAATCCGGCCTCAGACACATAACACTTACTAGCTGTGTGACCCTGGGCAAAGTCACTTAACCCCATTGCCTAGCCTAAAAAAAAACAACATTTTTCAACTGTAGGAAGTAAAACTCTATCATGAACTTGCTTTGTCCCTAATTTCTTTCAGTGGTCACTTCTAGCCTGCTTTCAATTAGCCTAACCAGATTAATCAGTGGCTCCCCCAGTACTGAGAGTGATATCTTGTACTTTATCAGGAACCTACAGGAAGAAGCCAAATTAAGTGATCTTCTGTTAATGCTGTTTTCATTAATTGAAGCTCTTCCTTATTGATTTATAAGGTCAGTTAGATTAGATCAACTGTCCCTAAATGAAAGCACCTATGTCTTCAGCTTTTAAATAGGCTTATTTCATTTGAACTGCTTAACCTGTCACTAATATATGCTTCTTTGAATAGAACTGCTTAACTTAATTGTCTTTATGATTGATAGAATGAGAATTTCAGCGCTGGAAACAACCTCAAAGGCCATGTTGTCCCATTTACACCTGAAAAAAAAATCACAGGGATCACAGAGTTAGGTTCTTAGAAGTTATTTAGTGTAACCTTCCCATTTTACAGATGATGAAACTGAGGCCCAGAGGTTAAGTGACTTGTTTCTGGTCTGATCATTAGAATCCCTGATTAATTAGATGAGTTTCCACAATTAACCTGATAAAATCACAAGTCATAGTCCTTTTAGGATGACTGGCAGACAAACTTGGGGACTTTTGTCAGAGAAGCCATTCCATTTCATGGTTTGTAGCTTGGAGGCCATCTTTCTCTCTCTCTTGCCTTCTTCCAGAGTGTGGCAACCCCTCTCCTCGCCCTCCACCCCCAGCAGTTGATGACAACTTGTAACAGAACTACATCACAAGCTTTATATACTTGCCCAAGTCACATGAGAGTAGAGTTCTTGGATGCCCAAGAGAGAGCCTAAAGACCCAAGACATGGCAACAGCTGAAGCATTGATAAAGTTTTTGCAGATGTATATGGAGGAGGTAGGCATGTGCATGTCGGCTTAGCCCAAGAAGGTAGTTCATGACAATGTTTGTGAACCCCAGTTCCTATGTGGATAATGAAAGACTATGAATTTTCCAAACATTTATCCTTCTAACCAGAGAAGGGAGATTTCCTGACCAGCATTTTCTGGGTAACCCTGGGTTCTGAAGTTTGAGAGTTCTAAGAATAGATCTAGAGAGAGAAGGATATTTACTGATGTAGCGCTCTCATTAGGGAAAGAAGATTGCATAGTTTCTGAGCAGTATCCTACCTGGATTATAGAGCCAGTGAATTATTTAGACCGTGCAGGTCAGAAGGGAAGGTGATTGCTTGTTCAGAAGCCTCTAAAATAGGATTATTTTGGGGAAACTGTTGAATGTTTTCTTTTTATGGACTCCTTTAAGTTCTTTGTATCTTTTGTACTTTCCATGGAGTGAAATGAAGGCTGTCCTATCTCTGATATCCTTTTGGTGCCTTGAGATCTAATGGGAGCTTGGGGTCCCTGTTACCTAGACATAGGCTAAAAGAAGGCTGTGCTTTAGAGATTTCTTAGAATAACGCAAGTTGGGAGCAGTATTAAGTGCTTACTATGTGTAAGGACCATGCTAAGCAATGGGGATAGGAAAATAAGATGATGCCTATTCTCTGGAGCTTACACTTTGGATGGGAGACAGCATATATTGGTGGTTTCATGGGCAGAGCAGATGGAAAGGCCCCCTGATCCTTAGGGGGCAGCCAAAAAGCTGGAGGCTGTACATTTCCTTCAATGTGATTTCCATTGATAAAACTATATGGCCATTGATCAGTAGTTGAAAACAGTGGTCAAGGTAGTAGCAGTAGTTTGACTTGCCTGGTCCATGCTGCTTTAACAAGGTTGGCTTACCTGCTGTGTAGGTGGTAGTTAGGGACAGCAAGACGGCACAGTGGATAGAGTGCCAGGCCTAGAGTCAGGAAGACTCCTGTTCAAATCCAGCCTTAGACACTTATGGGCTGCATGATCCTGGGCAAGTCACTTAACCCTGTTTACTTCAATTTCCTCATCTGTAAAATAAGCTGAAAGAAGGAAATGGCAAACCAATTCAGTTATCCTTGCCAAGAAAACCCCAAATGGGGTCACAAAGAGTCAGACATAACTGAAATGACTGAACAACAGCTGGCAGCTGCTCAGCAGAAGCTGATCCCTCCTCCAGAAAGTTTGCTTTCCTGGATGACGGTTAGGGGGATGGGCTAGAAGGGGGGCCCTGTTTAAGGGATGCTACAGTTCCTCCGGCCGTTGGTGGGGCAGCGGTCAGCAGCTGGTAGTAATGGTGGTGAGGATGGTGGGCTCCCTTTCCCACACAGGTTGCTTCACTGGATGATGATTGTGATTCCACCCAATTTTGTTATACATCATTTGTGCGATACAAACACATTGAGCCTACTGGAAGAGCCTAAAAGAAGTGGGTTGGTTTTTTTTTTTTGGGAAGAAAAAGAAAGACAAGGACATAAAAACAGAAACATGGAAGTAACCGTTGTGTAAACAACCTTCACTTTAAGGCAAACATAGCACTGGAATTTGTGTTTAAGGAGTAAACCTTTTGCTGCACTGAAAATCCCTAAGTCTGGAATGTTTTAAGTTATTTTAACGGTAACAGTGAGGAAGGCTCCTCTGATGGCTTCCTTGTTATGTGGAGATGCCCCACGCTCTCAAAGCCTATGTCAGTGGAACAAAAGCTCTGGCAGGTCCCTTTAGCTAAATTCTAAGCTCATTATGGAATTTGAGAATTGGAAGGGGCTTCAGAGATCATCTCCTCCAGCCCACACATGAAAGGAAGCCCCATTATAACATTCCTGATAAGGTATCATCCTGACATCTCTGCTTAAAGACCTCCGAGGTCTCCAAGACCTCTACCCTCTCTTGAGGAAGCCCATCCTGCTTTTCGATATCTTCACTTGTTTTTAGTAAGTTTTTCCTAATAATATCAAGCTCAACTCCGGCTATTTCCAACTTCTACACATTTCTCCCAGTTCTGACACCTGCACATTAGAACAAATCCAATCCTTCTTGCATATGACAAGCCTTCAAATATCTGAAGACGTATAACATGCCCTTTGCATCTGAGTCACCTAATTATGGAAGGGTCCTGATTCTTTGTTGTTGTTATTGTTGTCATACAACTCCTGGAGACCGTTTACTAAAGTGTGGAGGGGCTATCTGTTTTCGGTAGAACGTGACCTAAACCCTAAACTTTTATTTAAAAGATCACTCACAAAACACCATATCCATAAACTGACATTCTGTCATGAAGCAGAATGGATTAAACTTTTGGAATTCCATTCTCACGTTTAAAATGTAATTACATCAGGGCAGCTAGGTGGCCCATTGGATAGAGCACCAGCCCCGAAGTCAGGAGGACCTCAGTTCAAATGCGGCCTCGGACACTTGACCCTTCCTAGGGCGTGACCCTGGGCAAGTTACTTAACCCTACTGCCTAGCCAAAAAAAAAAATGCAATTAGATTACTCAGAAGTTGAGCTTTTTGTGGCTGTTGCTTAGTCTTTTCCACATTGAAGACGTAAGTAGGGTCTTCAAAGATGGGGATCTTTGAAGCATTTGGTGTGTTGAATGAACTCGAGCGAGCCAGAGGGCCCTGCCGGTATCTCCCACTCTCGGCCGTGACCTCGGCTCGCTCCCAGGCTTCCCGCGCCACGTCCGTCACGTGACGGGGGTTCAGCCTGGGCGGCAGGTGAGCCCCGCACCTGGGGAGCGCGCGGGCGCCGCCGCCGCCGCCGCCGCCGCCGCTGCCGCTGCCGGGGGTGGCCCCTAGGGGGCGGCGGGGGCCGCGGAGACGCCGGCGCAACGTGGGCCGATGGGGAGGACTCGCTAGGGAGGAGGAAGAAGAGGAGGAACAGCGACAGTGGGAGCGGGAGCCAGGCCCCGGCGCTGCCTCTGCCGCCGCCTCTTGGGCCGCCCTCGGCGGACGGAGCCGCCATGAAGGCCATCATCCAGCGCGTCACGCGGGCCAGCGTCACAGGTCAGTGCGGGGCCGGCCGGGGCCTGGCCCCCCGCCTCAGACCCCGGGCCCCGGCCTGGAGAGCCGGCGTTGGGGCCCTGGGCGCCGGCGTGCCGCTCCCGCCGAGGCTCCTTTTGGCCACAGAGAGGGGTTTGCGCGCCCCGGAGAGACTCGGTTGCTCCGCCCTGTCCAGCCTTGCTTTGGAGGCGACCAGAGCCTGTGGCAGACTGACCCTCCAGCGTGGAGTCCGGCGTGACTCGGTCTGGCCCTGTGGGCGGACCCTGCGCCGAGACCACCCCCACGTAGGGAGAGACCACCCCAACTTAGAGAAAGACCTCCCCCACCTGGAGACTGAAATTACCTTCACCTAGAGAAAGACCACCCCCACCTAGAGAACACCACTATCTAGAGAAAGATCACCCCCACCTGGAGACTGAAATTACCTTCACCTAGAGAAAGACCACCCCCACCTGGAGACTGAAAGAAACTACCTTCATCTAGAGACAACCCTCCCCTAGAGAGAGATCACCTCTACCTAGAAAGAGACTACTCCCACTTAACTAGAGGCAAAATTCTCTTCAAAATTGTTTGCTTGTCCTCTACGTCCATTAGACTATGAACTCCTTGAGGGCAGGGACTACTTTTCCTCCTTTCTTTGTATCCCTGGTGCTTTGAACCACGTCTGGCAGGTTCTTAAATTCTGGTTGGCTTCTGTATCTCACAAGACCTGAGGATCCAGGACATTTTTCCCCCACAGAATCACATGTCAGGGTTGGAAAGGGGACCCCAGAGGCCATCTAGCTCAATCCATACCTTTCCTCTACCTCCCTTCTCCTCCCACTCTCCCCCTCCAGATTCCTTTTACATCCTTCCTTGAGTGGTCATTCAGTTTTTGCCACAGGAAACCTTCTTGTGAAAGGGAGCTCACTGCTTTCTTTTCTCAGTGCTAAGAATCTGTCCAGCTCTTTCTATTCCATGGCCTATTTGATAAATCGCTAAAGTGAAGATCACAGAAAACAGGAGTTAGGAATCGATCAGTCAAGGGATTAGAAAAACAGAAGCTTAAGTTCTCACTCCCAAGCAGCTTACTTTATGGGGGGGGGTAGGGCAGAAGAGACAGCATGTACATCTATGGGAACACACACACACACACACACACACACACAAATAATACCTGATAGTTTTGGGAAGGAGGGTTACCCTTAACTTTGTAGAAGATGGTGCTTGAATTGAGTCTTGAAGGAAGTCAGGGTTTCCCCGGGACAGAGAAAAGAGGTGGGGGTGCATTCCGGCCACTGGGGTCAGCCAGGGAACAAGTGCCAAGAAGGACTTTGCAATGCTTTCTGTCACGTATGCACAACAGTGAGTAAGCCAGTATGACTGGAATATAGTACGTGGAGAAGAGTCAAGTGTAAGAGCACTGGGCAAGTGTGAAGGGGCTAGATTGAGCAGATATCTAAATGCCAGACAAGATTTTATATTGGATCCGAGAGGCAATAGAGAATCACTGGAGTTTATTAGAGGGAGATGTGATCACGGCTGTGTTTTAGGGAAATCAACTTTGGTCACTGTGTGGAGGATGGATTTGTTAAGAGTGTGGAAAAGCTTGAGATAGGGAGACCAATATCCAGGTGAGAGGTGATGCAGTTCTGAACTTCTAGGGTGGTGGCTGTGTGAGTGTAGCGGAGGGGAATGATGTGTAGGTCAAAACAAGATTTGCCTCCTGACTGGACATGTGGGGTCAGGGAGGGATTGAGGATGATGTTGAAGTTGTGAACCTCGGGTAACTGGGTAACTGGAAGCGTGGTAGTCCCCTCCACTGTAATAGGGGTATTTTTGGGGGGAGAGGAGGAAAGATCAGTTCTTTTTCAGATATGCTGTTTGAAATGCCCACGAGGCATCCAGATTGAATGTCTTTTAGGCAGTTTGTTATTTGGAACTGGAGCTCAGGAGAGATGCTGGAACTTTGGATATAAACATTTGGGAATCGTCTTCACAGAGCTGACAAAATGATTAAGTGATAGAATATAGAGAAAAAAGAGGAGGGACAGCCATGATTGTTCTCATATATTATTTAAAAATACCATTAGCTTTGAAAGCAACCTTAGAATGTAATTCACTTTAAAGGTTTATAAAAGAAATAGAACTATAGAAATACTCCAAAGTGAATAAAAACCAAAGTTCTGAATCTGTTAACTATCAGAATTGATTTCTTCTATCCATTTTGATAGCCCAGATCAAAAAGCAACCATTTTTGTGCCATTCCCCAATTAACAAACAACTCTAGTAGTACCTACCATTCACAAACCTGACAAAGTATTTATAAACCCTAGGAAAGGTTGGGAAATTGTGCCCTTGAGTATGACTATTCATTGGCAGCTTTGAAGCATTAACTGAAACATATGTAATTTCACTTATTAGAGAGTGGAATTTTTTAGTGTTAGAAATGTGTTCATTTATTTGTAAAAAAGAAGTACCAAAAATGTATTTGTTGCCTACCTTGTATAACCCAGTATCTATCAAGGTGTCATTCCGTAGGTATGGGTACTTTGCTACAAATTACAATCTTTCCTAGCATTCTCATTCTGTGAAATTCTTTTTCAAGTTTACATATACATCCTCCATGGAGCATCTATTTAATGTAAACTTCCTCTTGATTCTGTTTTTTTTTTTAATGCAAGTTGGTGAATTTAAGAAAAAAATTGATATCACTTCCCAGTGACTCTTATTCCCTGTTGGAGTCAATTCTAACACTCTCCAGTTCAGGTTTGATGGGATGAAAATGAGGCACTTGCAAATCATTGAACAGTTAGGTAACAAAAGGAAGTATACTTGGTTTTGACACAGCAAGGATATACAACTAGGACACAGTGGTATTTAGCTTTTCTGGACATTGACCCCCTCGCTTCTGTATGGAAACCCCAAAACAAATGTGGTCATTAAGGCAGGGTAATGGTGAACATGGTGACTCAAGTGGTCAAAAATTCACCCAATTGGAAGGGTTCTAATTCCATGTGGTTGGACATTTAATGCCCTTCAGTGCATTAAATGCAGGGGGGAAGCCCCAAGATAGTTTTGTCTCCTTTTAGGGAAAGATAATCAATGTTGTAGGGAAGGAGGAGAGGCGTGGACATATTCCCATTTTGTGTTTGGGGGAGGGAGGGGAAGAAGCTTAGGGAAACCTGGACAATTAAGTCCTGGGACCATTTTGTTTTGTGATGATTAAAAGGGTTTAAGAGACATAGTTTCTGGGTAATTTAATCATTATATTAATTAAGGCTAGCACAAGTTATTAATAAAAGGATGGTCAATTGTCTCTCTCTTAGATCAAAGACATTTGTAGTGGGCTCTGCTCTGGGCTTATATGTTCTTTTGGAAGAGGAGAGTCAATCAACTGATTGGTTAACACAATGAGATGTGGGCTATATTAAAATGAGGGGCTGAGAGCGATATCATGGTACCCTTGGACAGAGAGTCTTATCTTTATACCCTGACCACCCCCAGTTTTGGGCAATTTAATCAGAGAATTTATTCCTACCCAAACCTGAGTAGAACTTCTCCACCTTAGATTAATTCCTTGTAAAGTTGGGTGGGGTCTGACCAAGACTGAGGAGAGTTAATTTAATCTCATTATCAATAATGCCCTTCAAGAGACTGAACTTTTTACTTTTTAAAATCAGGACTTTAGAAGAAGGGGAAAACAATGGATCTCCCCAAATTATTGGTTATTAACAATCATTTCTCTCAGTTTAAGGAAAAATAATCCATGTTGCGGGAAAGAAGGAGTAGGCCTCATCCACATTGTGGGGGAACTCTGATAGATATTAATGCTATCACTCTTCTTTAGGGAACTCTGCCTTGTAACAAACAAGTACAATTAAGCCGAATGAATCAATACGTTTTGGCCATGTCAGACAATACATATATGTCTTATTCCACACCTGGAGTCTTTCACTTCTTTTCAGAGAGCAGAGGGGGCTGTGCATTGGTCTTCTGGAGCCGAAATGATCAGATATGCTTTTCAATGTTTTTTTTTTTTAAACATTAATCATTTTGTAAACTGTTCTTCTGGTTCTGTGTACTTTGCTCCTTCATCTTGTCACAGATATTTTCCCAAGTTTCTTTGAACTCTTAATATTTGTGGTTTCTTAGGGTACAATAACATTCCATTACATTCATATACTGCATTTTGTTCGGCAGTTCCTCAGTTGGTGGTCGTTCACTTTGATTTCACTCCCCAACATGCTGCTGTAAATCTTTGACTGCCTTGGAGTTTGTACTTAGTAGTTGTATTGCTGAGTTAAAGGATGTGGAGAGTTTAGTCAGTTTTCTGGAGTAATTTGTTTTTTATATTTTATTAATTTATTTTATCAATAATCACTTCCATATGCATTTGAGTTTAAAATTTTTCTGCCCCTTCCTCCCCACCGCCCTCCCCAAGATGGCACACAATCTGATATAGGCTATACATTTACATTCCTGTTAAACATATTTTCACATTAGTGGTGTTGTAAGTAAAAATTAAAACCAATCAGAGGAACCATCAGAAAGAGGAAACAGAACTCAACAGAAGAGAAAAAAAATAGCAGTTCAGCTTCCGTAGTTCTTTCTTTGGATGTGGATAGCATTTTCCATCACAAGGCCTTTGGAGATGTCTTAGATCCTTGTATTGCTGGGAAGGATTAAGTTTATCAATATTAGTCATCGCACAACGTGGCTGTATCTTGTACAATGTTCTCTTGGTTTGGCTCACTTCACTCAGCATCAGACTGTACAAGTCTTTCCAGGTTTTTCTGAAGTCAGCCTGTTCATCATTTCTTATAGCGCAATAGTATTCCATTACATTCATATACCACAACTTGCTCAGTCATTCCCCAATTGATGGGCATCCTCTCAATTTCCAATTCTGGAGTAATTTCAAAATTATTTTTTAACAGTGTAACACTGTGTTCATTTCCCCAAAACGCTTTTAACATAACATTTTTGCCTTTTAGTATTTTTGCTAATAGGATGAATAGAGG